TATTTTGTTATTTGTTTTTGTTATATTATTGAGACTGTTTGTTAGATTGTGAGACTTGATTTTATAGTTATGTTGAGTTGTGAACTGTAGTTTGTAAAACAATTTTTATTCTGAAATTCAATTTAGTTATGTTGTTAGTTTCAGTATTTTGTTAAATGTATTGTAATTAACTCTTTCTCAACAGATTTTATATTTATTATATGCAATTTAATGTTTTAAGTCTTGTAGTCTTTTTATATTAGCACATGCAGTATTTCAGAATTAAAGTTTCAAAATCAGAACCTTCAACAGGTATGTCTTTTCTTTATGTATTTAATGTTTTCTTTCACCCTTTATTTTTCAGTTCTTAATGCTAAATCTTTTAAAAATTTAAATTTGGAAGGAAAAGAAAAAAAAAATTTTAAAAAGAAACTTAATTTTATTTGTCCTCACTTAGCTATATTTTCAAAAAAAAATTTAATTTAACATGACCTTTGGTATTAAGGGTTAACTTTATAAAACTATATTTATGTTTTTAAATATATAGTAGACTTAATTAAAACTTCAATAATAAGGGTTAATTTTAGAGATTAAGATATTTGGTATAAAAGAAAAATACTATGTTTTTCTATTTTAAGAAAGGAAAACTGTATTTTTGAAATAATAAAAATCTTAAAGGTTCATGTAAGAAGAAAAGAATTAAACTTTATGAAATCTTTAAGCTAATATAAATTTATCAAGTGAAGAAATGTAAAAAGTTTTTTACTAGAAGAAAAGAATAGTGAACTTCAAAATCATTAAAGACTATCCAGATTTAGTAATCCTCACACATAAAAAAAAAGAAAAGAGAAGAAAAGATGTGGGGAGAAGCTTGAGGAGATGTCTAATTAAAAATTAACTTCACTTGAATCAACTTAAAGAAGAAAATTTGACTACATTTTCTAAACTTTTATTTGAGTATTAGCTCATTTACTAGTAAAGTTTTATGAAGTACTTTTTCACATGAATACTTTAAGTGGCTTTAATATGACAATTTGCATTTTTTTCTTGAAAAGAATAGAGAATCAGAAATCTTGGACTTGATTACTGGATATTCTTACACCTTTAATATTAAATGGAGTTGTTTTGAATTTTTCTTAAGTTATGCTATTGTATTTACTAGACTAAGATATAAAAATCTAGAAGTTAAATTCTTTACCATGAGTCATATTTTTATATAGTGGAAGAGTTACTTGAGGACATGTAACATGTAAGTTTGAGGGATTTTGATACACAAAAAATATATACATTTTTAGACCCATATTTTATACTCATTTTTGGTGATATTACACTTTAATGGAAGGTATTTTTATGTTTTCTTGCATCTTGCAGGTTGTCAATTTTTAGGACTTGAAGCCAAAAAGATAGAATTTAGAGTCAAAATGGCATTTTTAAAAAAATGTTTAGTGCCAACAACACCAAGAGCAGTGCCGACGGCGCAGACCAATAGAATAGATGATGAATTTTACTCAATTTCAACGACGTCGTTTTATAGAGAGAAGCGAATTAAATTGCGAAACACTAGCGCTGACTGTGCTAGAATGGGCGTCGATGGCGCCAATGTTGGTTTAGCCCATGTTTCTATAAGATTTGACAAATTTATACGCTTTTCTAATAGTTTTTAGAGGCACCTATTGGAGAACCGACTCTAGGCTTTATTTGAGGCCAAAATTTAATGTTTTAAAATGACTCTTTTTGACATCTCATCGTCCCAATTCAACCTTCTATGCATCACACATTTTTCCATTTTTCATTCCATAGCCTTTAGAGTCCATTGTTCTTATAATTCAGAGCTTTGTGGTGAGATTAAGTGTGAATTCTTCTCTAAGAGTGTTGGAGAAGGAGGAAAGTGAGAGATTTCTTCTTCCTACATTTTCTAGAATAGACTACAAGGGATTTGCTTTGAGAAAGAGTTTCAAATAAGTGTTTCTTATTTATTAGTATTGTATGAACTTTCTTTTATATATGAAATTTGTGTTTTGTTATATCTTTCTCATAAAGTCTGAGTAGTTTACTTTATCTTTCTCCCTACTCTGAGATATGGTGAAATGAAGAGATAATATGGATGTGCCAATATTAAAATATAAAAAAAATTGTGATGATTTTTCAACTCCGAACTTAATTTATTTTTTGATCTGGCCAATTGAATTGTTAAAATATTTGTGAAACATATGATCCAAAAAATGGAGTATGAGTTCTACAAGAGAGTGAGGATCACATTTGATTACATGAAGGAGAATTTTGTTCATGGAATTAAGTGCAAATAAATAGGGAAATATACTTTGTTGCTGTAGAATTGGAGAATCTTTAGAGTGACAGACTAAAATCCTCAATTTGGTCTTAGTGTTTAAAAACTAAAGCGAGAGTTAGCCTTCACGTGAAGGGAAGTGGGAGCTCTGGAGTGGGAGTCAATATCCTCCTAACCTAGCCATGAATTTAGGGACCAAACCTGAGATTAACCAATGAATTTCTATAAGACTATATCAGGGTAGAGAATTAAACTTGCTCCTATTTGGCACAATACATATTTGAACCATTTATCTCATCTCATTTTACCAAAACCTCATTATAGTACGAAAGATGCTTTTCCACATAAGAAATCTTCGTCACATAAACATAGTTTAATAGTTTAGTAGTTACTGTTTAAACTTTGTATTTTAGTTTTGTTATTAGTTAAATAATTTAGTTCTGATAATATCTCAACATTCAAAATTAATGAAAGTAATTTCATTTTGACCTTCTATGAATTTCCTAGTAAATTTATCATTTCAAATTTAAACATTCCCCTTGGGATCAATATTTGGGGCTTAAATAGAAAGTCTTTTATTACTTGATAATGATACGTATACTTGTGTAGAATCCCAACATTATTTACTTAAATTTCTTATTAATAAAATATTGCATCATGCTTTTGGCACCATTGCATAGAGGAGTCAACTTTATAATTTTTACACAACTATATTCTCGAGATCATATTCGACAAAGCATTGATTTCATATATAAAAACAAGTTTACAAAATAAAAGAAATAAAAGACACAACTTATCTTACAATCCTTCTTAAGCAAACCCCTAGAAGTTCTCTCCAAGTCTTTCTCTATTTTACAAGCACACTCAATTCTCTCTTAGAAGTTTAATGAAGAATAAATCTCTCACCTTCCCTCTTCTCTTACAACCCCCCTAGAAGAAAATGCCTGTCATGCCACCCCCACTTTCTTGTAATTTTCTTCCCCCCTTCAACTCCTTGAAATATTCCTCTTTTATTTTGGGCTGCCTCTTTTCAAAAGGAATTCAAAATTCCCTCCAAAAGTCAAATCTTTTGAATTCAAAAGATTTGACTTTTGGAGGGAATTTATATATATATATATATATATATATATATATATATATTCACCCATCTGGTGTTGCATAAGAATTTCTTATCAACTTCAACTCCCAAGTGTAAATCCATGTAATAAATCATGTAAATTCTGTAAAAGAACTCATATTTACTTTAACATTTCTAAGAAGTGAATCTCAAATACTCCCGACTCCAATCATGAGATCTAGTTAATGGGAATGTGCAGATTGTTGGGGTGTTGCATTAAGAAAATTTAAGTATAGTTCAAGCTCATTATGTTTATCCATGAAATAACATAGTCTATTAGACTTTTATGCTCAACCAAGGGAAAAAAAATCAAGCTCCACATTAATAGCATCTCCAGCAAAAGAGATCTGCTACACCAAAGTCGCATGCATTCACAACCCAAAAAAAACTCCAGCAACACCGCAATCATGTGTGCCCTAATCATTTGCTACTTAGAACATCGCAACAAGCTAACTACAACAGAAATAGCATCTTCAAGTCACATGTAAGCATAATTTCTAGGCATATAGTTACCCAAAAAGTTCAAAAGACATTAGCAGAACTGCAATGAAAGTTCAATCTAGCAATGGTAAAACAGCCATAAAAGGGTAAATATTGTCTTGGTATCTATGGAAAATTAAATTGGTCAACTTAAGCATATTATGTCCAATATTCATTTAATCCCCTTTTGTTTGGACTGCGCCTATCATATTCAAAATGATGAGAACTAAGGAATTAAACTACCTGAAGAAGTCATAACCTGATTCAGCTAGATGTTTACTGATCATAGTATGCCCTTCCAACTTTCGCTTTTCATCAAGAAACCACTAAAAATGAGAAAGGAGAGAAAAAGGGGGGGACAAAGCCGATCAAAGTCTACAACATTGTGTGCAGAATCAAATACTCATAAGCTTTCATAACAGCCCAAACAAGCAATCAGTTGGAAACTTATTTTGGGCTCTATGAAATCTCAAGTCGTGAAGCAGCAAGTCGTACTTGGACAAGAGTCCCATCAGCCAAACTCAAGTGTGATGTTCGACCTCTGATTCTCGATGGTGAAACCGCCTTAACCCGAGAATACGAAAGATTATATTAATGTCGGTGCAGAAGTCCGTTCAGCCTATGCTCACTATTTAACGAAAGCTTTCAGTACAAGCTTGGTCAACCAACAGTCTTAACCAACCCCCAGGTCACATTGTTCTCCAAGGCGCATGTGGAAGGGAAATTAATCCAATTAGAAATTTAAATTAGCAAAGAAAAACCAGATTAGCACTTCATTGTTTAGTTTCCAATATTTTCCTTCCTGGGGAACGCCGTTTTATAACTTCATTCTACTGAAACCATCGTACGGCCATAAAAGGAAAAGACCGCGATAAAAATCAGAAAGCTCTATCACCACCAGGAAACAGAGACGATCGAATAATGAAAAACAGCTCAGCATTTTAAGAAGAAAATCTCAAATGCTCACAATATAACTAAACCCCAGTTTCAAAAAGGTCTCCCAGTAAACCAACATCACCATATGAAAAAATCTGAGGGAGAAACTGCATGGTAGAAGAGGCGGAAAGTCCTTGTTCACTCCATACGGCATTGAAAGAGAGCATCTTGCCTTATTAAGAAGGGTGTGAAAGAACTTACCTCCTGTGATCGCAACAACGCCTCGAACTTCCAAAAGAACGACCGAAAACAACAAGCCGATAAGCAGAGCCAACATTACAGAAGAGTCGAGGGACGGAAGAGAGAGAGAGAGAGAGAGAGAGAGAGAGAGAGAGAGAGAGAGAGAGAGAGAGAGAGAGAGAGAGAGAGAGAGAGAGAGAGAGAGAGAGAGAGAGAGAGAGAGAGAGAGAGAGAGAGAGAGAGAGAGAGAGAGGAGAGAGCGCGTGTTCATGTGATTCGGTCTGCTTTTGAGTATTGCTACTTGCGCGGGCAGGCAGCCATCCAGTCACTACATTAGCCGCATTTAGACCTACTTCGTCCCAGACATTCTCGGCGGCAGAGGCACCTGTCTATATTATGAGTATGTTATGAGTTTTTCCTTAAGAAAATATTATATCAGAAGTTTTGATGTGGTTTAATGTGGAGATGATAGTATTTAGATATTATTAATAGTATTGTGATGTTATTTTATTAAAATAATATCATAATACTATCAATAATGCCTCTAATAATATCATGGGCACATATTAATTTTATTATTACTTTTGTGTACATTGATAATAGTGTTATTCCTAGAAAAGATTTATGGCATTATCACTCCTCTTTAGTGGATCATATTTATGAACATTGAATTATTTTGGAAAAATTTAATTCCATTAAAAGACATAAAGAGAAAATTGGTTGTTCTTCTCATATTTCAGTAAACTTGTTGATTTTAATAACTTCATTTTTAATATTAGGCATATTGATTTTCTTTATAGTGGTCTTTCTTTTTGTTGATTCAAGCAACAAAGAAAAATCTATGAAGGAGTTCATTGGATAAAGCTTTTTACAACGATCTTTGGATGGAAACGTTCATTCTTCTTTTTTTTTTTTTGAAGATTTTGAAACATTTAACTTTTGTTCATTTCCAAATTGCTATTTATTTTCGTAATTCTTAAAAAAAAAATAATAATTTTATGCACAAAAATTATTGAAATTGTTGTCAAAACTTTACTTCTATTATGGATTATGTTTGGACTATAAAATTAATGGGAGATGATCTCTTTGCTCTCCTCAAGAAGTTGAAAAATATTGAAATTGATTTGAAAAGATATAGTTTGAATTCTAGTAATATCATTTCTAATAATGTTAATTTATTAAAAAATCGATAATATGTGGTTATATCTCAATTTGATAATAACCCGAATGACAATTCTATTTTAGAGGAAGCAGCACTTATTCAATCTCAATTAGCTAATGCTTTACATAACAAATATAAATGATTAAAATAAAGAGCCAAATGCTATTGCCTTTCTAAAGGCGTGGACAATTGTAAGTTTTGATAATAACCCGAATGACAATTCTATTTTAGAAGAAGCAGCACTTGTTCAAATTCAATTAGCTAATGATTTACATAACAAATATAAAATATTAAAATAAAGAGCCAAATGCTATTGCCTTTCTAAAGGCGAAGACAATTTTAAGTTTTTATATCAAAAAATCAAAATCAATAGTTGTAGCTATTTTATTAAGGAATTTTTTGTTAATAATTCTTATTGTAATACTAAAAAAGATATTTCTAGAGAGATTATTTCTAATTTTTATGAGGTTTCAATAGTCCTTTTCCTTAATTATGCTTATGACTCTAGTTTTTATTATGTCAATCATGTTTTAAATTATAATGGTTGTTTAGATCTTCTTAAGGATTTTTGAATGATGAGATTAAGAAAAAAATTTTCTCTATTAGGCTTAATAAGACCATTGTTTCTAATTGTTTTCGACAAAATTTTTTAAGGAAATTTGTGATATTACTAGAGCGCATTGTATTGTTGTTGCTAGTCTTAAGGATTTTTGAATGATGAGATTAAGAAAAAATTTTTCTCTATTAGGCTTAATAAGACCATTGTTTCTGATTGTTTTCGACAAAATTTTTTAAGAAAATTTGTGATATTACTAGAGTGCATTGTATTGTTGTTGCTAGTTTTTTTTTCGCCCCTCTAATCTTCATAAAAGAATTAATCATACTGCCATTATTGTCATTCGTAAGTGTAATTAGGTTCAATATTGTTGCTGATTTTAGACCTATATCACTTTGTCATGCGGTTTATAAGGTTTTTTCTAAGCTTACCATGAATAAACTTAAAATTTTACTTTCAATGATTTTCATCCAGCTCAAGCTGTTTTCATCAATGATTGTGATTTTGTTGACAATATTTATTTTGCCTATTGAATTCTTATTTGGCTTTGATTCTACTAATTTAGCAAATATTTTTTTTACTAAAGTTGATATTAAAAGTCTTTGATAAGTTTTTGTCAAATTATCATTGATAAAGTTGCAAGTATGGGTTTAACTAAGACTTTCATTTACAGTTTGTATTTCTAATCTTTACTTTTTTTATCACTAATAATGAAATGAATGGTTGATTTTTTTTCTTTCTTTGGTCTTATACATGGGTGTCCTCTTTCACCTTATATTTTTATCATTATGATGGATGCTTTTTATTGGCTTATGGTAGCTCGTCCTTTTAATTTTACTATTTCTAATCATATTCTTAATAGTTATAAGATCTCCCATCATATATATGTTGATTTATTTATCTGTAGTAAAGTTGATGTAATCTTATTAACAATCGCAATTGTATTCTCTATAATTTTTATAAATCTACAAATTTAAGAGATAATAAAGATAAATTTGTCATTTATTTTTTGAAATCAGCTAATTCTAGTTTACAAAACTACTTATGTCAAGTTAGTGGTTTCTCATTAAAACCTTTACAATGTTATTATTTAAGTGTTTCTATCGACTCTTTTAAGCTGTTGCAACTCACTGTTCTAAGTTATGGGATAAGTTACAACATTGGCTTTCTGGTTGGGAGCTAAGATTTTATTATTTGTTGGTATATTTCAACTATTAAAAAATACTATTTAGAGTTATTTATATCACTGGTTTTGTGCTATTAATATTCCTAAAATTTTAAGAAATAAAATATCTTCCTTGTGTCATAATTTTCTTTTTAATAATGATTCTAACTCTAAATTACATATTAATTTTTGCTTAACACTTATAAGCCTAAGATTTATGGCAGTCTTGGTTTGCCTAATTTAAATATGATTAATTTAATGTAAAAATCTAAATTATATGGAGACACTTTAATTCTTCTTCTCTTTTAGCGACTTGGTATTTTAATCATTATGGATCTTTTTAAATTAAACATAGGAGTGGCTTTTTTTAGAGGAATTTATCTCAAGTGGCTTCTAAAATTAGAAATTCTCTTCAATTTCAAATCACTTTTAAATGTATCTTCATTTCTATTTTGATCATTGATTGAATAATTTTTCTCTTTTTGAGAAGTTTGAAAATGTTCTTTTTATTTGATTTATTCTTTCATCTTTCATTATATTGAAAGAAGTTATTCTCAATAATAAATGGAAATTCTCATCTTGTAATATTCCTAATTTTTTTAATTATGTTTATTATATCCTTACTAAAAATAGTTAAATTATTATGTTTGGAATGGTTATGATAAATAAACTCATAAATGAATTTATAATCTAATTTTTCATAGCTCTTATATTATTGATTAGAATAATTATGTCTCATTTAAATGATATTCAATTAAATTTGTTATTGATATTGGGAGAACTTTACTTAATTGTTTTAAAACTAGTGAAATATTGAGTGCTAGAGGTATTATGATTTATAATTCTTGTGTTTAATGTTTCGATCATAATGAAACTTATAATCATATTATCTTTAGATGTAAATTTGGCCACTCCTTATTAAAGAGACATAATCCTTATGGAATTTTTTATATTTTAAGTGTAACTATGTTGAATATTCCTTCACAAGAGGAATCATTATCTTCTAATATTATTAAAAAAAATTGCTTGTTGATTATTCATGTTATAGCTTATTTTTTTAGAGAAAGTGGAATGCAAGAATTTTTTAAAAAAAAATTTTCTTCAGTTGATGTTATGGTATTTACTGTTCAGAAATCATTAAGTGGAAGAGTAGAAGAGTAGAATATGAAAGTTCAAAGAAGATTTTTTTTTTTTTGTATATTAAAGATCATTATAAGTTATGCTCGTACTATTTTCTTAAATTGTTATGTTTTTTTCTCTTTTTTTGGTTCAATATCAAGTTTGATTATTTATCTTAGCATCTCTTTATTAATGCTTTGATATTATATTAAACTCATGACTTTTGCGTGTTTTGGTGTTTTCCAACTAAAGTGTAATCATGTTTTTGAATATTTATGATCATTTTTATTTAAGATGTTCATAATACTTGGAAGGAGTTTGACTCGACCCACAATTAGGCAGATTTTTATATTCCAAAAGATGGTCAAAACCTTGACCCAATTTGTATTTAGCAGCTAATGTGCACAAATGAAATGTTACAAAGTTTAGAATAATAGTTTTCACACTAGGGGCACTACGCAAGTATATGTATCATTTCAAGTAATATAGAATTTTCTTTAAAAACCCAGTATCGATCCCTCATGGAAGCAGTAATTCTTTGTATAGACTTTTAGTGAAACTTTTACTTAAAACTGCATATATTATTCAAGAAAATATAATAGCAAGTTCAGGTGTAAAGTAAGCTACTAAATTCCTACTAGTTCTGTTTAAAATAAATGAAATGCAGAAATTCTAAATTATGCTAACTGTAAAAAAGAGCTATAATTATGAAAAGAATCTTTCCCTTGCAATTAGTTCATATTCTGTGTAGGAATCAAAATGTTTAAATGATGTATTGTGACAAATAGGAGCATACCTATTCTTTACCATTTTCTCGAGTGCATAAAGAACATTAGTTAATCTAAAGTAAGTTCTTGATTGTATGCTAGTGTTGAGTAAATTCTAGCTTGTCACTTTTGGATTACCCACTATGCCCTCTCTACAGGACCTACTAAGGACTCGGGTTCTAACTCTAGACCAATTTGGTAAAGGAACTAGCATGTCAACCTAAAAACACTAATTCTACGCCCATCAAAACTTATCTCCCTATCTATTTGCACTCTCCTTAGATTTTGGTTGCCCTCCTTTTAAGGTTAGTGTAGTACTCACTAGTTGGGTGAAATCATAGCCCTCCCAAGTCAATATATTTCACAATGGATTTTAACATTACATGAAGAACTAGA